GAGGAGTGCATCCAAGGTGCACCGGAGGGTATACCTCGAGACCTCGTCAGACCAATTTCTATCCTACCGTTCAAATCGAGGGCAAGGATGATCAACTTGTAACCGAAATCCCTGGACCCTGGAGCGATTTGTCTTCCTTGGGAAGGAGCGCGACAAGTGGCTTTCGAGGGGGCTCTCGAAAGCCCGCAAGGTCGGACTTCTTCTCTTAGGGTTTTTCGGATCCGGTGTCGAATCTGTAGTCCCGAAGGAGGGGGGCAGGGAGGAGTCGGCTCCGACAATGGCGGGCGCGGGTCCCGGGGCATGAGCCCTAACTGCGAGCCCAGCCCTTTGTTCCGGCATTCTGCGAAGGCCCGACGGTGACGACGCAGCTGTTGTGTCCCGCCGTTCGGTCTCTCTCTCGGTTTCTCTCCCTCTCTCTCTTCCTCCTTCCCCCGGGAATATCGGGGACCGGGCAGAGTGTCCGGGACGGAAGGGGGGAGCGCCGACCCTAATGGCTCGGACATTTCGTCGACGCGAAGAGAGATTAACAGGGGACCCTCTCCCCGGTCCCCCCGTCCTCGTCTCCCTCGGTGACTCCGAAAGACCCGAACGAACCTAATAAGCCTTAATTGCCGTATACACTTGGAAACCCTCGCCCCTCTTTCCCGATCCCCCTTCGGCGGTCCGGAAGGGCTTATAGGTGACACGCACAGAGGGGGGGAGAGATTCGCCCTTCCGATAAAAACCCTTCCCCTCGGGCCCTCTCCCATCCTCCGGGGGCCCTAGGGTCCTCTCCCTGAAGGGGGAGAGAGGGGGTCGGGCGTTAATCGATGCGCTTAATTGCTGGGTTCGAAACGGCCCCCCTCCGTGTTTCCGCTAATTAGGATGGACGCAACGGGGAGAGGGGGTAACGGAGAAACTCCGCGTTAAACCCATTCACTGCGGATTAGGGGGACGACGAACGGTTCGGCGGAAGTGATAATACACCCGGCGTAATTTTGATAACGACGAATTTATATCGGTTCCGCGAATCGAGGGTAATCCTAGATATATATACCTTTTGTCGGAGGAGCGTCGAGGACCAGCCCTTGGGTTTCGCGGTTTCCGCTTTTTCGCGTGCGTGCGGTGCTCGTTCGCCCACCCTCCCTTCCGTGCCTCCACCCTTCGAGAGGGTCGCTGCGGTTCCCGGAGCGGAAACATTAGTCCTCCTCGCGGCGGGAGTCGGCCCGTGAAACGTCGAGTAGTCGTCTCTCCTTTCCTGCTATTTTTCTTTCTTTCCCTCCCTGGGACCTTCTGCTCCCCCCACGCCCCCGGGAGAGCGTTTCCCATCCGAGCCTCGACCTCGGAGGTCCACGGTGGGTGCCCCCCCGCGATGTCAGTCATTTCCGGCCTCGTTGGGCCCCTTGCTCTCTCTTCCACTCATCTATTCGTTCTCCCCTCTCTCTCTCTGGGCTCTCCCCTTTCTTCCTCGAGATGTTTTCGCACGTGGCGAGCGGCCTTCGCACTTAGGCTCGCAAACGAGGCCCTTCCTAACTGGTCGCGCCATTTTGGGGATTAAAAATACCCGTTTCTAGATTTTTTTTTTTAAGGGGTGCAGGGGGGTCTCTTTTTGTTCCCGACGACGGTGGAAGTAGTGGGACTCGAGTAAGGCGGTCCTGAGCGCGCCTTTACTCGCGGGACACGCGTGGAACTGACGATATACGTGTACGCAGAACTGTGTGTATGTGCATACACACGTGCATGCTTCTCTCTCTCTCTCTATATATATATATATACTGTGTACCCTGTTCGCAATAATGAGGAGTTTGCACAGACTGGGATCCCGACGTTCTTCAAACAAGGAGAGCAAGGACAAACAGCCCTACGGACGGACGGACAAACACCGCTCCGCCGCGGATCACCCGCGCGTCCGTCTCGGTCTCGCGCGCGCTCGCTCCCGACCGACTGCGACCGTGTACCTCGTATGTCCCCGCACGCACACGCGCGGCGCCGCCACCTTCGCCTACGTCTACGGGGCCGCAACTCTCCGCGAGGGCCCATGCTACCATCACCCCTCGCTCGACGAGCACCATAAGCGATATGGTGGCTAATATTTGCCGGGGACTGAGCACACAAATACGGCAGGACGCTGTTTGCCCGCCGCCCGGCGGTGGCGGCGCCGGCGACGCCCCCCCTGTCCTCAGGAATCGGACCGAATTTCCCGTTTCTGCGTTCCTGCGTTTTCGCACGCCCGAGTTGACACTCTTCCCCTCCTCGCGGTGAGATGCGCGGGTGACACGTATCATCCGAGTTCGGTGTCATTTTCTCGCGGTTATCGATACTCTTGTCGACGCCAGACCGTGAAAATACCTCGCCGGGTGGAGCGTCGCGTTTCTGCGTTTTCGTCGCGCGCGGTTACCTCTTGTGCGCGGAGAGAAAAAAAAAACAGAGAGAGACGGTTGATTTTCCGCGAGCGATGGATGTATCGCTCGGAGGGAACGAGAGCGGATTCGACCGATACCACCGAATATTTTCCCCGCCTGCGGGTATTTCTCACCCGCGCAAGTGACGTTCCTTATCATCGCGGGGGGCGTCGCCTCGAGGTCTCGCGGTTATCCCGGTCCCCGGGAATTTTTATCAACGCGAGGGAAAACGGGATTACCCAGGCGCCGCTCCACGGGGAGATAGGGAAAATTTCCCGGGACTTTCTTTCCCCGCGGTAGCTAGGAGAGCTCTCCCGCGTTTCCTTTAATAATTTTCCTTACCGCGGAGAGCGCATCCACCCCCTCCCGTTCTTCTCCTCTCACCCTCTATCCCAGCGAGATTGCATATTTGAATAAGCGCGCTCTGCCCTCGGCGCCGCGACGTCACGGTTAGGTCAGCCGCGTCGGGGCGCGGCGGTTTGCGAACTATCTCAATTTGCCTAAGCCGCAACCGCGGCGACCGCGTAACCGCGACTTCCCTCCTCCACCCCCGCGTGCGTCTACACCTAGATCCGCTCCCTCCTGGACCGAGGCGGATGTCTACACCGAGATCCAACTCGCAACTTTACCCCCCCGAGCGAACACCGAAGAATGCGAGCGAGGGTACTCGCGCTCCGGCGAGACGATTTTTTTTTTTTTAATTATTTTCTGCGGAGAAATGATTGCCATTCTTTGTGTTGGGGAACGCGATGGAGAACGCGACGTATGGTTGTCGCTTGTTTCGACGATTTCAACGTGATTTATTCGACAATCCTCCAAACAGCCCCCGGCTCCTAGTAACGCCATTTCTAACTTGCTATGATCGATAATTATTTTTTTTTTAAATACCTTAATACCTATGTACACCCTGCATAATTATTCCACCGCGGTACCTGGATTGGATTTAGCCTCGCGCCTCGCCTGATACAATTACGGAATTCGTTTTACGCGCGTATAGCGGAGGTTCATTAGGCAAAATCGAGCGGGAGGAAAAAGGGGCGAAAATGTAGTGCGCAGGGGAGGAAGGAGGGGGGGGGGGCGATCAATTAAGCCGGAGTCGAATCGAGGATCTCGATTCTCGCTCGATTACGCCGACCTCCTTGCGATCGGGGTCAGGAGCTACTCGCGCGATCCTTTCTTCCTCGAGTGGGCACCGGCATTGGCGCTCCTATCTTCCCCTCCGACCCTCGTACGTACTTCATGCCGGGAATGAGAATCTCGTTCTCGCCCCCGAGAGCCCGTCGCTGAAGAAACGTGTATTTTGGGATAGGAGGAGAGCCCTCGAGGCTCTGGGGACTTTCGATCGAAGAAGAAGAGGAGGAGGAAGAAAAAAAAATTGATTTACTCCTTTCGGATAATTCTGACGTATTTTCGTAACTCTCGTTATCTTCAGATATTTCTGGGCAATGTCGGCGCGAGGAAGTCAAAGTGGAATCGCGTCGGGGGAGGGCCGATTCCTGGGTGCATTTGCGTGCACTCGTGTACGTGCATTTACGACGCCTCTGTGTAGCCGGCGAGCTCATAGTTTCGGTTGTAGCTTGTAATCCTCGCGGACACCGCAAACATGTAATTAACACTTGCTCTCGTTCGGTCTCTCTCCGCGCCGCCTCCGAGCGGCGTTTTCCCTCTCTCTCTCGCGGCGCTCCAAAGCGCGCCAGTAGGTTCGGAGTCGCGTCGACGCGAGATTCCTCTCTCTCTCCCTCTCTCTTGCCCCCTCTCGCTCCCTCGCACACGTGGGAATCGACACGTAGGACCCGCGCGTGGGTGCACGTGCAGCCGTGTACCACGGGTCCACGCGCGGTCGAGGGCACTCGACACGGCTACTCGGCATCCGCCTCTCTCTCTCTCTCCCTCGGCGTTTCTCTCTTTCCTTCCCCCCGATACTCACTCGAGTCACTCACTTGCTCGCCCATTCGTTAACGCGCCCGATAACTCACTCGCTCCTTGACCACTCACCGCCGCGATAGTCGACTCGCCGACTGACCCGCTCGTTAATGCGCTGCACTTCCCTCGCTTATTGACTCGTCAACTTGGTCGCTCCGCATCCTTTCCGGCGCTTTCATATACCCTGACATTCGCGGTCCATTTTTTGACACCGGCCACTTCGGAGCCGAACTCGACTATTCGCTCTGGAGTACAATTAACCTGCCCCGGCGCATCTTCTCCTCGCTTTTATGTATCTTCGGCGACCCTCCGTTTCTTCTTTTTTTTGCGTTGACCATTTTGGAGCAAAACTCGTAGGAAAAAAAAAAGAAAAAAAAATGTAAGCGTCTTGACGTGGTCGCAGACTCTCCGGGTATTCCTTTCACGTGTCCCCGCGTCCGATTCCCCGTCCGTGCGGCCCTCGAGAAATCGAGAAGAGAGAGCCTGAAGATGTTTGCTCGGGTCTCGAGAGGCAGCGCACCGTGCATACAATTTCGGTATCTCGAGACGCCTCGAGAGAGGCTCGGAATGGAAATTTTGCTGTTTACATACTTTGCCGGGGATAATTAACGTCTCTCGGTGAGAACGCTCTCGCGGGATAACTCGTGTTCAATCTGCCTTAAATTTCTACGAGATGATTTTTCGATCTGATTCCAGGGTTCCTCCCAGCAACCGGGGCAGCCGTTCAAGATCACCGTCAGCGAGTCCTGCGACAGGATCAAGGAGGAGTTTAATTTCCTGCAGACGCAGTACCACAAGTGAGTCTCTCGACGTAGTTATCTCGGAGTTCGACGTTCCGCGTTACCGGGGCATATATCCGGTGTCATTTGGAGGCTCAGCTGTTGCGGGGTGCACGTGGCTTTTCCGGTAATTCGGCACCTGTTACGTAGAGCACCTCGACGACGGTGCGGCCGTGTTGCCGGGAGCGCGTCCCTCGCGCGTCTGAACGCGCCCCTTAGGCGAAACCGGATGGACCCGATGCGCATCCTAATTGGCGCACCGGGTGCGGGCGCGCAGCCAATCAGCGCGCGCGGCGCTCGGCCCCGCGAACGAGTATCGGGTTAATTGGGATGTCGCAAGGAAGTTCGGGTCAGTCGCGCCGCGGCGGGCCGAGGGGGCGGTCGAGCTGCGCCCGGAAGAGCTCCGATGACCTCACCTCGTGGTTGCGCATCTCGTGTCGAGATTTTTTAAATACCATAAAAAGGCATAACTTTCCACTTTCGACCCAGAAGTGAAAGATGTTCCTAGGTGTCCTACCGATAGACGTAGAGTAGGACTCGATTCGCCCTAAGGACGACGTGTACGTTCGAAAGGAGAGCTCACTTAGTTTACGCGGTCCAAGGGCTGGAATTTCGACTCGGGGAGGAAACGAGAGCGTTCGGGCGTCGCGACGGAAAGGGCGGCCACGATTTATGGGCGCTGCCCACACGCGTGCGGCGCACAGGTGGAGGCGCGTGTGCGTGCGCTCTCGCCGAAGGGCGGCCCATAACTGATTTACGATAGCGTGGGCCGACGGACCCGGTGTGTGCCGGGACCGGCAATAATAGCTAGGCGCGGGGCCACGGGACGGAATTCAAAGTCGGGTCGAGCCGAGGGGCGGGCGAAGAGAGGTTAGGTCGAGACGCCGCGTACGCCGTATAATGCACGGCGGCCCGGTGCATTATTATGCACGCGCCTCGGCGCACACGTGGAGGCGCCCTATAAGCCTCGGCCCAGCCGTGTTCTCGTATACGGGCATCCGCACCGCGTAATATGGACAACGAAGGAGGAAGAGAGAGGGACGATGTAAAAGCCTCTCTGTCTCTCCACATTGTGCCGGTATAAGGAACGGCACGATGAGCTCGGGGAACTCTTTCCTCGATTGAAATATCGCGTCCGAGATTCATTGAACCGAAGGAATGTTTCATCGAACGTGGAAATGCTTCGAAAATTCCAAGGATAATTATTTGACACTAATGAATGGCACAATTCCGAGGAAAGGTCGTATCCAAATATTTCTTTGGGACGATTTAAAGAAACAATTCTTTGGTTCAATGACATTTTCTTTTTCCGCGTGCCTTTCCTATAGATAGACTGCCGGTATATGCTGGGAAGACGTTCGTGTCCGTCTTTGCACATGGTGTTTCCGGTATATTAGCCCCAAGACTCTTTCCGTTAATTCCGCGTCTTTTCCGCTCGGTTTCCTTTGCCGTGGTTAATTTTTAAGCCGCCCGTGTGACCCCGGAGGGCCGTCGACCGCGCAGACTTGTAATCGGGCGGAGCCGCATTTACGTTTCCGAGAATGACTGTATAATGCACGCGGCTCGCGGTTTCCGCGAGGGGTATTACGGTCGTCCGTCGCTGCCGCGAGTGGAGCACTATCGGGCCACGTGGCCGGGAAACACGCGGCACCCCTCGATAGCGCAGGGACGAGTGGCGCTCGAGTTCGATCGAGAGACGCGACCTTATGTTTTATTCCGACCTCTCGGTCGTTGACTGGGAGCAGTCCACTCGTCGGAGGTACTCTAGGTATGCTCTCTCGTACTTGCTCCTCCTTACCTGCCGAACGACGGCTCGCCGCTACTCGAAAGGTTGTAACGTAATTTGTTTTCCTCTCTGTTTCATCGCCCACAGTCTGAAGCTCGAGTGCGAGAAGCTGGCCACCGAGAAAGTCGAGATTCAACGGCACTACGTGATGGTGAGACCCAACACTATTCTCTCTCTCTATCTCTCTCTATCTGTCCACATTCATCCGTATTGCAGCGCCCCGTAGGCGTCTCTCTCCTCGTCTGCGATCCTCTCCCCTGTCGCCTGTCTACCCCCCGCAGTCCTTGTACCGCGTACCGCATAACCATGATTAGCAACGTATGTACCCATGTACCGTGGGTACGTGTGTACCCACGCTCCCCCCCGGCCCTCCTCGTGTCCGTCCATCCGGTGCCTCCCACGCTCGCTCGCGATAATCATCCTTGCTCGCCCACTAATCCGAGCATCGGCTTCTTAGCATTAATTGCTTCCTCGCTGATTGACTTCGTGCTTAGGCCTCGCCCCGTCTCCCGGAGTCCCCAGCGGTGCTCATCCGGTCGATCGTCGAGGGGATGCGCTGATGTGGGCTCGCGATCCCCTCGCGCGCTCCTCCCATCCCTCGGGCCATCTGTCTGCCATCGTGCGGGTCGCGCGCCTTATATACCCTCGGCGCGCGCCCCCTATCCCCTCTCGGCGGCCCTTTGCGCGCGCACGCGCGGCCCGTATACTAATTTATTATCGCCCCTCGTCTGTCTCCCTCGCTCCCGTGCGGGCCGGCCTCTGTCTCTCCTTCTCATCCCGGGACACGTCCGCGGCGCGTAGAGCGCCCTGTTTGAACAGCGGCGGCTGCCTTCTTTGCGCAGCTCCGCGTGTGGATTTAATTGGCGAAGCCGACTAGTTTAAGCGCGATTAATCAGCCGACAGAGGCCGGCCCGAAGGAACGGGAACAGACGAGAGATCTGTCGAGGCGAATTGTACCACCGCGGTTCTCGTTACCTTCATTTTTATCATCTTTTTTTTTTCTATTTTTTTTTCCCCCTCCGTTCGTTTCCTCGATACCCGCGACGAACGCGGCGAGTAATTGGATCTGCTCAATTTGCTCCCGCCGTAAGATTGCGCCGGAATTTTGCAATTCCGCGAAAGCGGTCCCCCCCTCCCACTCTCCTCTCTTCCTTGTCCCTCCTGCTCCGACATCGTCGTGTTTACGCGGTGTACACGATTCTACGGGAAATGGGATCTAATCTCTATGTGTGTTCTCCTCTGTTTCAGTACTACGAGATGTCGTACGGGCTCAACGTGGAGATGCACAAACAGGTGAGGGACGCACCCCGTCGATTCGATTTACCGTTACAAGTTCGTTCACTCCGACGTCGGAGAGTAGGTCGCCGAGAGATCGTTTCGCCCAACGGACGCATCGGAAATCCGCGTCTAGAGAGGCGCGTACGAGTCGCATATTATGTTTTGCAGGGAAAGAGGAGGAGAGAGAGAGGGAAAGAGAAAAAAAGCGGAGGACTGAGAGATCGCGCTCGTCGGTTCCGCGACGTTTCCGCTGGGGGGTTTATTTCGGCGCGGCGGAAAGTAACTCGAGAAGCCCCGCGGCGCGGCCAGGATGGGGCAAGGGGGTAGGAGGAGGAGGGGGGGGAGGGGACGGAAGGGCGATTCGCGGTGATGTAAAATGGTTTATTCTCGGCACGGCTAAGTGGGTTCCCTCTGCGGTATGCTGCCAACTCTCCGCAACGATAACGCGGTAATTACATTTACGAGCGGGGCGCAACTGCTTCCACCTCCCGCCTCCGCCTCCGCTCGCTCCCACTCCCTCGCGGCCCGCCTACGCCGACCGCCTCCCTCGATTAATAACAATGCGCGTTTACACCTGTAAATTAACTCACAGCTGCACCGATCCGGAGCAGTCGCCCCCACCCCTCCTCGGCCCCTTTCTCCCGCAAGCGACGTATATATGTACATCTATCGCTCTTTCTCTCGATATCTCGCAGTTTCGCTCACGGGCGGACTGCTTACTAGGGGGGTGCGGGGCAATATCGTGGGGGATTAGCCGTCGGGACCTTTTCGCCGTTCGATGTTAATTTAGACCTTACCGGGCGCCGTGATTTACCGCCGCGTCGGCGAGAGGCCTCGCGCCTCCGCCCCGGGCCACCCCCGACTGACGGTGCGGCGCGCGTCTGCCGGCGACTCGGGGCCTCGCGATCCCGATCGCACTCGCCGCGCATGCGCCCACTCTTTCGACCCATTGGCTCGCATTGCCCGGACCTCGCGATCCCTCGCATCTGATTGGCCTGCGCCCGAGGAGTGGGGGTAGGGATGCGGGTGTATATATATGGAGCGTCGCGCGAGAAAAATCAGACCGGCCCGAGCGGGCCTCGCCGCCAATCTTGGCGTTAATGATCGACGATGCCGTTTTACGTTCGACCGGCGTGCCGATAAGTAACACCCGCTTAATCGAGTACATCCGGCACCGAGCGAGCGGGCGAGATAGCCGGGCTCTCGCCTATCGACCGCGCCGGCATATACGAGCTCGCCGTTAGCACGGTTAATCAGGCGTGAGTGATATTTTCGCAATTATAGTCGGTTACACGGCGAGAGGGAGGGCCGCCGAGGGGGCGAGCCCTCGGGGCTAATTCACGGGCGTCGAAGTACTCGCGCGAGCGGGAATTAGTGCCGCCCAGGCGACGCTCGTTTCTCGCGCGTTTAGTCCCTCTCTGTCTCTTTCTTTCTGTCTTTATCTCCCTCTCTCTCTCTCCCTCACCCGGTCTCGTGGGAGAGAGAGGCGGAGAGACACGTCGAGGCGGCGAGGCTGGGCGATTAATTATGGCGCGGCGTGGGTGCTTCAATTAAAATATCTCGAGACCGTTAAACGTCGTTGAGGTCCCTCCCCCTCCTTTTCGGCTGCCGGCAGCTGAGCTCGTAATTAGCCCGCGTTAACGGCCGGCCGTTAAATTAAATTTAAAGGCGGAATCCGCGCCGGGGTGCGCTCTCCTCTCTAGGCGGCTCCTTGGGAAAAATCGGCGGGCATGACGTCGCTCCCGTTTAATCGGCCGTTTCTACGCCTCGACGGGCGAACGCGTGATCGAAATCCGAGCGGCCGCCCGTTTGGCCGGGATTTACGGGGCGAGACCGCGAGAATTTCCGGCCGGGCGGCGAGATCGCCGCCGATTAGCCGCGAACGAGCCGCGCCGGGGTGCTGCAGGAATTCGCCGATCCATTGCGCCAACGCGCTTCATATCGCGGCGCATTAACGCCGACGACCGGTATATCTCCCCCGACTCGTTTCGGACCTCGTTACCCGCTCGCGGACGTTTTTCCGCTCCGCGTTCGACGATCGCTCTCGTCGTCCCTTCCTTCTTTTTCTCCCTCCTCGAGACCCGCCCAGAACACGTCGTCGCGTTTATCTCCGGCTCTCGAGGACTCCGCGAGGCACTGCGGCCGTCCCGTCGCGTTTAGGCCGCCTCGACTCGTTTTCTCGGTTTTCGTAACGAGTCGCGCCGGATTTCTGGAGCGCTCGGTTTCCTTCCCCCTTCTCTCTATCTCTCTCTCCGACACTCTCTCATTCTCCGTTTATTCCGTTGCGCCGTTTATTTCCGACCGGGCGACTCGAGCGCACCCCAGCTGGGCGAAAATAAACCGACCGACTCTCCTCGCTCTCTTTCTCTCTTACTCGCTCGCGCCCCGCGAAAATAACGCCGGAAATAACGCCAGCTCTTTGACGAGGACTCGTCGTGACGGCGGGGTCGGCGAATCGCGACGCCCAACGGCGCGTTTAATTCCCGTTCCGTCGGCGGAAATTCGCGGCGGACGACGTGTGCGGTCTCGAGGCGTTGATAAGTCGACGGGAGGCGCGATTAAGGGGAAAGCAGGGGATCGAATGGAAATCGTCGTCGCGGGTGTTATCGTTTCGCCACGGCTCGGCGAGGGGACTTTCGACTCGCGAGTTGCAGTCGGGAGATAACGAGAGATTGCGCGAGATCTGGGTCTCGACTTTCTGCGGAGGGGGGGAGGATAAGTTGCAACTTTTTAAGGCCGCCGTGGACGTCGCTTTAATGCCAATGCAATGGCAGATTAACGCTGGTAAAAATGATAACGGGGTCTCGCTCGCTTATTTCTTGGTACGACAGGAGTCGCGGATATGGTGCAATTAGCAATTAGCGGCCGATAGGAGTCGCGCAACGAGGGGCCGAGGGAACGGATGTTCTCGCTCGAAATCCCCGACTCGTCCGAGAAACGGACTTCGGTCGTTGCAGACGGAAGAGCGAGGGGACGACTGCATTAAGAGAGCGCATAGGAACGCACTCGTGCATTAGACGATATCGCGACTTGCGAGTACATTTCGCAACGGGGATAGCGGCGAGATAGGCAACACGTGGACGAGGTTTTTTAAGGAGGGGCGTATTTACGAGTCGAGTGGTTCTTTGAGTGCTCGGGGCGCCACAAAGTTGCAAACTCGGATATTCTTTTAATAGGGAAGAGCGCGTGGCGCTATTCACCCGGAAATCAGTGAAAACGATTTCCTTCGTTAATGAGCGATCGCCTTTGATTGCACGTGGCAAAGAACGGGGTCAGTCGGTAACAAATGACGACTGAGAGTGTTTCGGTGATTTCCAACGATTTCCACCCGATTTCCTGATTGTACGACCCCTCGGACGAGTGGATGCACTTTCGCGGTCTCGCGATAATTGCATGGCCAAGAGCAAGGCCAATTTCGCTCGTCGCTAATTGTCCGCACTCGATCTTACGTTCCATCTCCCTCTGATAGTTTCTTTTTTTTCTTCGATTAACTCGAGAGAGGGAAAGAAAAATGAAGCCAAGCTTCTCGCGTCCGAGGAGGGGTCCCGTTTGATCCTCGAGTCGCGACGCGAAATTAAAAGTCGCCGGGAGGGTAGGGGGTGAAGGGAGAGGAAAAAGTGAAATTCCGGGAGGCCTTTCGCCGGCGCGTCTCCGTAATTGACAAATCGCCTCGACGAGGGTCGGGGAAAATTGAGACGCGAGGGGGGGCGACTCGTTCCTCGCTCCTCTTAAGGACATCTCCCGTAGGTCGAGATCGTTTCATTAAGGCCTCGTTTTCCCGGGTTAAATAAGGTCCCCCACCCTTTCGAGCCTCCCCGCGGTGATAACCTCGCCTGAGACGCCTATCTCCTCTCTCTCTCTCTCACTCTCTCCGCTCTCTTGAAGGGCGCCCGACTCGACGCACTCGAAGCCGAGCCCTATGTACGCCGAAAGAGTGCACGAGTGCTTCTTCAGCAAGTACTCGGTCCCGATTTTCGAACGAGATTTCCCAGGCTTTTCGTGCGCGCATTCGAAATGTGCACTCGCGTACTTGTGCAAACTCGAGTGCATTCCCGTATGCGCAATCGCGTGCCGGACCCACGCACGGCCCACGCGTTTCAGGGGCCCCGCGATTATCGGCACGCCTTTCCCCCTTATCGGCCGAGTAGCTGAAAACCTCGTACCGTGCCTTTTCTCTTTCTTTTTTTCGTCTCAATTTAAACCGCTGGCAATCGCGACGATATAAGATTCCGATACTGGGTTGAATTATAAGTGCGTTTACCCGCGACCCTCGAGGGGCTTATCGAGGCGAGTTGACCCTTTACGCGTGCCTTTCGCCGACACGCTTTCGCTGGATACTGGAATCGGGAATACGGTGCTAGAGTACATGCTAGGTAGAACGCAAATGTACGGTTCAGGGTGTACTTTTAAATTCTTTTTTTTTTTTTTATTTAATTATTATTAAGATTTTAATTTTCATGAAATTAAATTCTTAACGACGTTCCGTTAACTCGACGTGTCCTTGGGTTCTGCTTGCAGGCGGAGATCACGAAGAGGCTGAACACGATCATAGTGCAGGTCCTGCCGTACCTGCCGCAGGAGCACCAGCAGCAGGTTGCCGCCGCCGTGGAACGAGCGAAGCAGGTCACCGTGACCGACCTCAACTCGACCGGGGCGGTAAGTCCTCGACCCTGAAGAAGGAAGGATCTTGACAACGAGGGAAAACGAGGGAAAGGGTCGAGTAAACGCGCCGAGGAGGGCAAATAATGGGTCCTGAGAGGACATTGATATTCGGCGCGCGGCTCGGACTTATTTCCCGGCGAGTATTACCGATATGCGCCCCCGTCAGGAAATTGGCATTCGGCCCTCGCTCTCCGCGTAATCGAGTTCCGACTAGGTTGCGCCGCCGAGTCGTGTGACGCGAATAATTCCCGCAGCCTCGGCCAAAGGTCGATCGATCGACCGGTATCGCCGATCGATAAGTACCGCCGGACGCCGCGACTCTTTGTGTCAGTCTTCCCACGCGGGGATCTCCGACACGTAGGAGGTGCGCGGGCGTGTAACGTATTAATAAGGCCCCGGGTGGAATTGCAAGGAACTATACGAGGCGATAAACCGTGGTTACTTTCGCCAGTCTCTCGCGGGATAATGGGTCTCGCCGATTGGCGCTTAACTGGGAATTTCGTCAAGTCACGATTAAGATAGTCCTTTTATATAATTACAATTGTATCTATTTCTTTTTAATTTTTAATACGAGGGCTGGGATCTTGCGGCGTGGGGATGCGCGGCCGGGGTCACGTGGTCGGCCCGGGGGGTATATATACCGCGGGCGCGTCGTATGCACCGGCACTCGCGGGCAATCAGTGCGCGCGGCCACATCGGCGGGGGCGTGCACGAAGGGGCGCGCGTGTCCACGGCGAGGCGTCGCTCGTTACGGCCACGGCAACGTTGACGGAGTGCGGGGGTGGGACGGAGAGCGACAAAGGGGACGGGGTAAATGGGCAGTAGCGGCAGCCCCCCATGAATATGTATTACTCGATAAACAGGGGTTGAATCAATATTTCGTTTAATAACACCGCACGGAGGTGTACGCTCCTCCCGCTTTTTCCCTCGCGTCTCGGGTCCGCTCTCTATCTCGGTCTCTCTCGCGCCCGTCTCCCGGCCGATGGATCCGTCTCTCTCGGTCGCGCTCTCGCCTCCACCCGGCGAGGACGGAAGGCATTCCGTGCACGCGCGTCGCCTCGAATTTCAGGCTCGTTAAACGCTCTCCCATGTTCCGTGGAAAGCACCCCCCCTTTCCCCGGCGTACTCCCATACTCGAAAGAAATCGATGACTGGCCGCTGGCTCGATCTCGATATCTCGAACCTCCTTTGCGGGATCTCCGGCGAAGGCCCCTCGAGAACCCTCGGGTGATTGATTCCCCTCTCTTTCTCTCTCACCCTCGTCCATTTCGCACTCACTCGCGGCTGCCAAGAGATTACTCGCCGAATCTCGGGGACGACCGATGTGCGCCCCCTCGTAACATCGTAATTGATGGGCGGCCCGTAATAACGCGACTTCGCCCTCCCCCCCCCCCGTCCGGATTCGCCCCCGGGGGATTCCGCATCCGAGTCACCCCGCACGTGCGACACCCCATACGCGCGACCCTGGGGCGAACCCCCCAGCACTGGGGGGAAATAACTATATCGGGCTCGATCTCGACTCACCCCTCTCCTCTCGGGGGTTGCTTTTCCTGCCGGTCTTTCTGCCACCCGGTCTAAGTGAAACCCAACGATAAGGGCGATTCGCACGCTTAACCAGATTATCGCTCGTTGCAGCGAGTCGTAGCATCCCTCTTATTATCTCGCCACGGTGGGGTGTTCCTCCGGGGGTGATATCACCCCCTTGGTTCGTCGCCCGGACGGAATTGCGCGTTTAGGTTAGGACGGGGTAAGGGTGACGGGTTTTCTTTTTATTTTCTTTTTGCCGATTTCAAGGGTGTCCGGTATGGTGCTCGACTTCCTGGTCTTATCGGGGAAGGATACCCTGGGTATATCGATGATGGGGACTTCGTTATGCGGTTCGTAATGGCGAGTCACGAGACGGGGGGTTTTCTTAGGAAGGGGAGGAGATGAATGTTGGATCAAAAAAACAAGCATGGGCGGCCTGCGGATAAAAAAAAGGGCCCCGCCTAATGAAAGACCTTCCGCTCGTCGCAATAAGGGCGATTCACGCGCCTAACGAGGTTATACTCCGCTGCAGTGAATTCTCATCAAGCTTATTAGATCTCCCCGAGGGGCGCGTCTGGGGTCGAGAGGTACACACCACCCCTGATGGGATAGGGTACGCTTCGCGGGATAGGGCCCCACCCCTTGATGGGACGCTCACGATTTTGACCTACTCCTTCGTGGGGACGGCTTTGTTAACATACGCGCACGCGACTCTCCCTAGGGAGCGCCCCGTGTCCCGATATATGGGGATATAAATATATATTTGGATACGTGTGCGCGGACATCCATATGGAAGCGTTTCGCATCGGTGGACCGAAGGATCCTGCAAAACCCGGCCCCTCGATAGCATCTCCGAAAATGGGCTCGTTACGAGATGGGGCTATCCGGCGGGAAAAAAAAAAGATACCCGGTCCCTTATTAACTTGATTATCCACTTTCGACCCTATATCATACCCTACATATTTTTTTTTTCTATTTTTTTCTTTCGCGCCGGGAAAAGTGTCAGCTGATCGGTTGCGGCGAAGTGCGAAATCGCTCTTGATCGCGAGGCCTTGATATTGCTAGAAATGCGGATTCCAAATAGATCGGGATTTATTCTGGCGTCGGAATAATCGATACGTAAATTTGCGTGGAGTTTTTTTATATCAGAGTGGAGGCCGAAGAACACCTTGAATTTCTTGCGATTACCGGGTATATTGTCATTTTGCAGCAACAGAGGCCCGACATCCCGAGGCTATTGCAACAGATGCACGTGCAGCAGCTGCCTCCAGCTGCAGCGATCGGACCCCACCCGGGGCTCCCGGGTCTTCCTGGTTTGGGCCCGGCCGGGGGACTGCAGGTCCCGACGTCGGCGTCGGCGGCCCTCCTCGGCCTCGGGCTCAACCCTGGCGCCGCGACGACGGCCGGCGCCACCGGCGCTCATCCGCTCTCCATGCTCGGCAAGCCGGACCTCCACCGAGGACAACCGGACGACCTGAAGAGCAACGGAGGTAAGTGCACCTCGTGACGCCTTCGAGATTTAAAGGATATTAACGAAAAAAAAAAAAAGTCAAGTAAAGAAAAATAGTTTTCGCAAAGAATAATACTTTCCATGAAAGAAGTGGCACTTTTCCGCTCGCATTAAGGTGATGTGAAAGTGGCGTCAAAGAGGTCTGGTCAATTTCTATTTTGTTCGATTGTCTTTTAATTTGTAGATGTTTCCAAAATTTTGTAGAAAAAAAAAATGAAATTTCATGGGGGTCAGGACCTTCCTTGTAGCCTCCATGTTCACGTTGTACGGTTTCGATCGATTCGGTACACCCAGTTCGGAGTAAGGTATCATGAACGATTGACCTTTCGGATGCCACTTTCACATCCCCTTAAATAGTGAATAGACGATAATCGACCGAGGGAGTGACACGCCAAGACCGCAGAGACCATTTACTGGGATTGTCCGTATCGTTAAGCCAAGGTGAACGAGAGTAGTAATTAACCGCACCAGGGGATAATGAAATAGAATAGTGTGCGTTCCGCATTTCGATACGGTCCCATTTCTTAACGCGGTTAGTAAAAGGTCGCGCTATCTCGACATGGAAAAGTTCATTTCAAAAGATGCGATACGGAACGAGATAAAAAAGTAAAAGGGTTAACGGAGACCATTTGTCGGTGTGTTCCAGGACTCAGCTCGACCGAGGAGAGACACGTGAGTATAATCTGAAATTACGTATCCGGCGATAACGGGGGGCGGCCTTTCCTTTATCCGCGGGCGGTTTACGCGGAATCGGTGCGAAGTGCTTCGGCGGGTCTCGGGGTGTTTTTCGGGCGTGCGGGGTCGTAGAGGCGGGCGCGGTTCCGCGGCGGATTTACGGTTCCGCCGATGGTCGTAAAGGCGCTCTCGCGATAGGGGAAGCGGAGGCGATAGCGAGCCGGTTTCCCGCGGGAAGCGGACGGGCGGGGCCGGAGAGGAGAAAAAGATTAGACGAAGAGGAGGAGGAAGAGGGACGATGACGAGTATTATAGGTTCGCCGAGCCTGTAATCATCGCCGGGCCGCGGAACGCCCATCGACGCCCTCTCGTTCTCTCGCCGTTCTCTTTTTCTCGTCCCTTTTCCTCTCCTTCGCTGGCGCCGCGCCGCGATGCGTTCCCGCCTGAATTCAGCCGCACGGGAACGAATTTCCAAAACGGAAAGAAAGGGATATTCAGGGGGGATGCGTTCGAAGAAAAAAAAAAAATATTTCTACAAAAATTCCGTAACACGTATAGGACGTCCCGCATCTCCTGCACGTCGCTCTTTCGGCATCGCCTCGTCCATCATTCGCGTTCTCTTCGCCCCCTTTCCCCCCTTCGCCCGGGCCGTTATCGTTACCGCCCCTCCGAGTCGCGGCTCAGCCCTGGGCGATCCATATTCTTCCTGTTTTCTCTCCCTCTCCCTCCCCCCTTTTTTTTTCACTTTTTCCCCCCACTTTTTTTTTCCTTTTCCTTTTCACCATCCGCGCCCACGCCTCGCCGCACCGAATTCCATTACGTTCCATTACGGCGCTAACCGAGCTTGGCAGGGTCGCGTCGAGGGGCGCAGCCCTTAACTCCCGGATTTTATTTGTCAACACCGGGAGGCGACTTTCCCGCCCGGCCGGGGAGAAAGCGGGAGAAACGCACTCCGGGGACGCGGTCGGGCGGGGCGGGGGCGAGGGCCTTTACGGGCGATCGTAAACGCTCCAGACCCGCCGTAAAACGCCCGACGAGAGCCCCGGCGTTTTAATCGAAAGCGGTTTTATACGAGCCCTTGGTAACGCGGCTCCCTGTACGCCTGGTACAGTCGGCTGCGTTAAGGCGGGACGGAAGTGCCGAAGGATCGATCGTTTACGAGACTCTCCTGAACCGGAGATAAGAGATAATTTAGGATATTACCACGCGAACGTGAAGGCTCCAGGGAAAGACCCTAAACCCATGAAATTTCATACTTTCGCGCGAGAATTAGAAAAACTTAATTTCATGGCCGCCGGGTCAACGCGTTAAGGCGCCGCAGTAAATGACGGAGGGCCATCCCTCGTTCGCATTACAGAGGAGCTCGATATCTCCCGGCGACAAGTACGGCCGACCGCGGACCCCGCAAGAGCAGCACCACTCGCACCACTCTCACCATTCTCAAAACCACCACGACCACTCGATGCACCCGATCAAGAAGCAGAAGAAGGACCACGACAAGGACATCGGACACGTAGGTTATCCGGAGGAGGGGTTTCCCCGAGGGCCGGGCGACCGGTACCGGGAAGCCTCGCCCCGTAGTAGATCCGCGGTAGTGGCGACCGAGGCAAAGACTGAGGGTGTGGATGGTTTTGCCGAACGACAGAGCGACGGGGAGAAGAGCGACCAGGACTTGGTGGTGGACGACGCGAGCGAAGGTCCGACGAGTCCCGCCGTGAACGGGACCTCGTCGCCGAGGGAGAACGGGCTGGACAAGGTCGGGGGGGTCTCGTCGCTGGGAGCGGGGTCGGGGGCGAAGAAGGACGCGCCCCCGCACTCGCCGCGCAGCGGCACCAGCAGCAACGCCAGCACCCCGTCCGCCAAGAAGATGGACGACCGCGAGAAGCCGGTCACGCCGATCTCAAAGCCGCTGACCCCGACCTCGGGGTCGGCGGCCGCGAGCGGGGGCCTGAAGTCCAAGCTGCTGCAGGGCCCACCCCCGGGGGTTGGGGGGGCCTATCCGCCCCATTACTCGCCGGGGCCGCCGCCCCACCACCTGTTCCCCTCCGGCCAGCACCCCCACGTGGAGATGATGGCCTACAACGGGTACGCCGCGCCTCGCGGCCCTCCTCTGCAGCCGCTCTACGACCCCCACGTGTCCATGAGGGCGCCCCCCATGGGCGCCGGCGGCGTTCCCGGGGGCAAGCCGTAAGTTCCGGAAGAGCCGCTGCTCGCGGTCTCGAGACTGACCGGGTCGTCCCTATGTTCCAGGGCATACAGCTTCCACGTTTCGAGCGACGGCCAAATGCAGCCGGCGCCGTTCCCTCCGGACGCTCTGAGCGGGCCTGGCATTCCCAAGCACGCCCATCCCGTGACCAACCTGACCCACGGCGAGGTGGTCTGCGCGGTCACCATCTCGAACCCCACCAAGTACGTGTACACCGGGGGCAAGGGCTGCGTCAAGGTCTGGGACATCGGCCAGGGCGGCACCGGCAGCGCCAAGCCGGTCTCCCAGCTGGACTGCCTGCAGAGGGACAACTACATCAGGTCGGTCAAGCTGCTGCCGGACGGTCGGACTCTCATCGTCGGCGGCGAAGCCAGCCAGCTGAGCATTTGGGACCTGGCCGGCCCTACCCCGCGCATCAAGGCCGAGCTCCCATCCTCCGCCCCCGCCTGCTACGCCCTCGCCATCTCCCCGGACTCCAAGGTCTGCTTCAGCTGCTGCAGCGACGGCCACATCGCCGTCTGGGACCTGCAGAACCAGTCGCTGGTCCGCCAGTTCCAGGGCCACACGGACGGCGCCTCCTGCATCGACATCTCGGCGGACGGGACCAAGCTCTGGACCGGGGGCCTCGACAACACCGTCCGCTCCTGGGACCTCCGCGAGGGTCGGCAGCTCCAGCAGCACGACTTCACCTCGCAGATCTTCTCCCTGGGCTACTGCCCCACCGGCGAGTGGCTCGCCGTGGGCATGGAGAACTCCAACGTCGAGGTCCTCCACGCCACCAAGCCCGACAAGTACCAGCTGCACCTGCACGAGTCCTGCGTCCTCTCGCTCAGGTTCGCCTCCTGCGGCAAGTGGTTCGTCTCCACCGGCAAGGACAACCTGCTCAATGCCTGGCGCACTCCCTACGGCGCCTCCATCTTCCAGGTGGGTCTCTCTCCTCCTCTTACGTCGTTATCTCTAGGCTACTTATCATCGCGTTATTTACGCTCCGCCTGGCATCCCGGCGGGGATCGAATCTCCCGTTCGATCTCCGCGGTCCCTGTCTTGCGGCTCTCCCATACCTCTTCGTCTTTTCGCGTTTCAGTCGAAGGAGTGCTCGTCGGTGCTGAGCTGCGACATCTCGGCCGACGACAAGTACATCGTCACCGGCTCCGGCGACAAGAAGGCCACCGTCTACGAGGTCATGTACTAACGAGGACCGGCCCGTCGTCGGCTCTAAGATCCAGGAGAAGAGGAGGAGGAGGAGGTCGAGGTCCGCCGTGTACCAATGATCGACGTATCCAGGATCATCGTCGCCCCCTACGCGACGTCCGGGTCGGGACCCCCCAGGGGCACTAGCTGCATCCTCGTCGACCTCTAGACAATTCCCCACCCCGATCGACGACGTCCCTAACGACGCTCGCAGGGCGTCCCCTCGGGGTGACCCCCTGTTGCGACCTCGTCCGCTGATGTCGTTAATTATCGCCTTCGTTAATAATCCCTCCCCCAGCCCCCCCTTACCCGTGTACATTTTGTATATAACTGTGTTACACATGCTGTCATATTTTTCTACGCCCGACGAGTGAATCGAGAAAGAGACTACGGATTGGGATACGAGAAAGGAGACGACGAGGAGACATAGAGCATGGTAGGATAGAAAATGGGCGCGCGGCGGTATCTATCTGTAAATATATACACACACACATACACCGTCGCGTTCTCGCGCGCCGTCGTTGACCCGTTGCAAGAAATAAATGGAGAAATCCTTAAATCTATCCACAGACCGCCGGAGTCGGGACGAATTTATTTCGAGGCCGAACCCTTTCCCGTCCCCCGATCAGCTGTTCGCTCGAGAGGTGAGTATCCGAGTATCACGGTCCACCGATAAAAACCGATGGACATTTGGAGACATCCGCTAATCGAGTACGTAAATTTGCACGGTCATTTTTATCGGTGTACCAGCTCGCGGGATCCAGCGGAAGTCTCGGTGTCCCCTGTCATGAATGTTGGTTTTGCTCATTTTTCAGGAATCTCGTTAAGGCCGCTTACCCAACCGCGTATCAGTAGGTGTGATTGCACGTCCCAACGGATAATTTTCCTTGGACCCGTACCGAGTGTTTCCAGCTATTACCGGGAGTTATTCGCAGTTTCCGACAGGTGGGACGTCGCCGAAAGGAGTGAGACGTCTCGGTGCCCGCGGTGGTGCCCCGAGGCGTCGCGGAAAGAGCGTCGCCCGCCGTGTACAAGTAGCGGACAAACACGGGAGAGCGAGAGCGCGGCTCGGCGGCATTAATTCGCAAAGCAGCTCCCGTGTCCGTAGCCGCGAACAACGTGGCGGCAAGGGGGGGGGGCAAGGGGCAGGAAGGAGAGAACCGATCGGAGGGATAAAACACGCACGCCCGGCAGATAATTAGCGATGCCATGCATGCGCACGACTCGCGTATTCAATGGGAAGGTTCATCGACGTAACGTTATTATAATAGTGGCACGTTTTGCATATGCGACTGGGCTCGGGGTTTACTGCACGCCACGGCGGCCCGGGCCGCGCCGTTGTACGTGCGCGATAATGATATGCGGCGAGCGAGAGAGCGAATGCGCTCCCGGGGGCGAGGGAGCGCGAGAGAGAGAGAGAGAAGATGGGATAGACGCCCCTGTACCGGCGCGGTACTCCGTGGCGTGTTTTGAATATCGCGCCGGGATAAATGCATTAGCTATTACCGCTAATTCATCGGCCCGCGCCTTATTCCCGTTGCCTTCCGTTTCTGGGATCGCGTGCCCGAAGTTCCCACCGAGTGGTCTCCTCGTTTGGGATCGAATCCGCCTCCTCGTCCCCTACAAAAATGCAGCGCGGCTGGCTTTGCACTAATTGCGAGACGGAGATTTTAAATTTTGTCTCGCGTGTAACCCCCTACGCGCGCGTATGGCAAAAGTACCCGATTTCATTTTTTTTTTGCACGATTAATCCCCGTATGTATTTGACTTTGCAAAATATGCTTTCCCAAATTGGATGGATATTTGGCGCAAGTTCTTTTTTGTTTTTTTTTTTTTTTACACCGACGGTGTTTCTTTGGGGCGGAGCACTTCGGAGTTCCTCGCAGAAACCGAGCGAGGAGGGAGGAGGATGGGAAAGAGCCGAGGGGAGGTGCGCGCGCACGTATCCGCGCGGTCGGTCCAGCCGGCGAGTCTGCGGCTCGCTCGCGCTAATTTCCGCCCCCTCTGCCCCTCGGCAAATCCGTCCGCCGCCCCCCTCTGCGGTCTCTCGCTACACAAACGCAGCAAATTAACAGGCACGCAAATGAGCGAGTTCACGCGGCGCGTTCGTGTTCCCGCTCACAATTGGACACTAATAAACGCCGGTCCCGCGCCCGCCCACCCCCCCGCCGCCCGGCGGGGCGATATCGGCAAACACGGATGATTGTAGGTACGGCGCCGCGCCCCGGCAATGTGCAGGCACTGCCGGGGCCACCCGCCGGAAACGGCCCACGGCCGTTGTTTCGGATGCGTTTAACGCAACAGCGAAAATTACGGTATCCGCGGACTGGCCGCCCTCTGGGCGGGTCGCGGCAATTCCGCCCGCCGGTTCGCACGAGTTTTCCGCGGCGCCCGGGTTTTTCTTTTTTTTTCCACGGGCGAGCCCGCCGATTAACGAACGACTCCCGGTGGAAGGACGGATTAATAAACGCCCCTCGAGCCGCGACGGTCGTCAGGGGGCAAAAGTCGGACCCCGGGAAAATCCCGACTCGATGAAGACGTCCCTTGCTACTCCGAGGAGGGGTCCAGCGGCTCTGGTCGGCGGAGAAGCGGAGTCGAGCGGGCGTGCATCTGCATTTTTTAGGTTCAGCTGCCCGGTCGCGCCTACGTGAACGTGCCTTCCTTCTCCCCCTCGCCCTCCTTCCTTCCCGAGGCTCGCACGTAAGACGGCAGCTGCGATTCACGTATGCGCGGGTACATAAACTCGGCGGGTCTCTCTTCTCTCTCTCTACGCGCTGCCCTCCCCCTTTCCGCCGGGCGTTACGTGTGCCCGCCGCCGCGAGAAGACGCGGGTCCGCGCGGACGTACGAGGCGCCGCTCCGAAAATGTACCCATAGCGCATGCATACAGGCTGTCACGTGGATGCCGGATATATCCGGCGCGGGTACCGAAAGGGTTAAGCGCGAGGCACGCTCGATCGGCGGCCGCTAGGCTTTGGTTCGGATTGGCTAATCTCGGGTAAGCAGGCTCCGATTGGCCGGCAGTACCCTGGGGAGCTCCGGACACCGACTCCGACCGGCGGGACGTGCTCGCGGCCGGGTCGCCGGGATCGAGGCCGCGCGCGCCCCGGCCAGACCGTCCCCCGTAATTGTCTCCGCTCGCGGACCGTCTGCGGCGAGGCGGTCTCTATTTACTCCCTTCTTAATTGGATCCCGCGCGTTTCCGCCTTTGGAATTGAATTTTCCCCCTCCGCGTTCCCTCGCCCACGAGCCGCGGGTGCGGGGCCGGAAGGAGCCGAAGTCGCCCCGGAAGCTGCGGCCAATCGGGCGCCGATACCCCTCCCGAAATTAGGGCGATAGCCGGGAGCGAGGGGGAGGGACAGGGTCTCGCGTAGGTGCGGCGGCCAGGGCGGCATTACCGCGGCGGGGCGGGGGCGGTCCGACGCTGGCGGCGGCGGCGGCGGCGGTGGTTATCCAGATAGCGGATAGCCAGGACGGCGGTCTCGTTTGCGGTTTGACCACCCTTGCGGTGCTCTGCCCTAACCGCCCCTAACCGCCATACCGCACCATCCACAGTCGCGCCGCCCCGCGCACCGACCGGCGCCCGCTAATGTCGCCCTCCACCCGCCGCGCGTTTAAACCCCGAGGCTAGTTTCACACCCTCGGCCACCCCCTTCCCCACCCCTCCGACCCTGGGCGGATCGCCTTGCACGCTCCGTCATTTTATCTCTGTTTTAACGGCCGCTCTCCTCTCGTCGTTGACGTAGAAAAAAAGGAAAAGAATCGGGTCCGATCGGTACTTGACAACGGTACTCGATATTTAAGGGTGGTTCGCATTTTTCAGGAAGGATGGACGCCTTGAATCGCGTCAAGGGAGCTCGGCATGACCGTTACTTGTAGGATAATTTCCGCAACCTTTTATCATTTCTTTTTCTTTCTTATGGGAAAAGCGGGTATGTGGCGTGCACGACCGTAACACTTTTTAATTTCACCGTCTACATTTCACGATACGGGTGAAACGAGCGGAACGTCGATCGCCGGGGAAAGAGTTAAATGCAGATCTCGATGCAAGACGCGCATCGATGCTCGCCGAGGGTAACCTCGTTCTGGAACGTTACGGCGCCGCGCCGCAGGGGCGTCGCGTTTACGATTTTCGAGGAGGGTCGATCCGGCCGTATAACCGGCGTCGACGTCGCGCCGGGCTTCGGATTCTTTACGAGTGGACGTCGCCTCGGCGCGGAATGCGCGACCGAACCGCCAGGGTCGAACCGAGGCCGGACACCCATGGGGGAGGGGCATGAGATTCCCTAGGAAAGGCTTTCAGTTACCATGAAAATACTGCATCGAGATAAAAATAATCAACCGCGTATAGAAAAAAAAAAAAAAAAAGGAAAAAGTAGAGTGGAAGCGCGTAAAAACGAAAAAAGACGAACGGCTGCGCGCAAAATAACTCTGCTCACAGAGGTATGCAGGGTAATGACCGAAAAGGCTGATGCATGCTATTAAATGAATAAATAAAAAACATTCGCGGTCCCCTCGCTCGTAGGGACCGATCGATCGGATTGCAGGAAAATCAATATGGCCTCCCATTTTAGAAATTCGGTACCGACATTCCCCAGTTCCTCCCGCTGGTTTATGGATCCCGGCGCAAGTACGGTCCTAGCTTAACGCGCGAGTATTACCGCTAATTGACGGATAGTTTTTAATATTTCACGGGTCCCCTCCCCGAGGGGACGTCGCGTCGAATGCCGACGACGCCGGGACGCGCATCGGAGCGGGCCGACCCCCCATTTTTTTCGCGCAATAAAAAAGGATCTCGCACGGAATTCCTTTGTCTCCCGTTCGGATTTGCCGGTCGGGCGTGAAAATGATTCGTCACGGGGCGCGGGCCGTAGGATTTAATGACGATTCGCGAGGGTGGGGGAAACGGGAAAAGAAAAAAGAGAAATCGATGGAAGGAGCATACATTTATACGGAGGGAAGACGTAACGGAGGCCTCCTCGTTTTTCGACCCCTCCTCTTTTTTCTTCCTTTCCGCGTGGCGCGCGTTTTAATTAAAAATCGAGGTCGGGTAACACGAGTCGATGTACACACGGAGAGGCTCGGGCGAGGTTTCGGGCCAGAGGAGGGTCGGCCCCGAATCGGCGCGACACC